AGAGCTTTCTAGAACATTCTGATGTTAACATGAACAGTTTCTTATATTTGGGGAAGAAACTCTGATGAATTATTCTTTTAATGAATTGTTGGATTTAATTTTCTCTTTTATTCATGTCTGCATTTAGAAGTGAAATTGTTTTCAATTCCTATTGCTAAGTTACATTCACACACACTCCATCTTTTTCTCCCTCACTTATTCAGTCTCCCAGGCCACCCACCGTTACCACCAAAAAATCAGGTAGAGATTCTTCAGACGTTCTAAAATGATGTGCTGAGGAAGTTTATGTGAGACAAGAGCTCTGGAATTCAGTGGTAGGCCTATTGCACTATTCCATTCCCATACGTACCATTCTGTATTTGGATCTTGCCACTTTCTCTTAGTCCCACAACGTGCAGATCCAGGCCAGAGGGCCCTAATCCTCCTCTCCAAGCCCAGAAAGAAGGATGTGTATCACTTCAGATGAGTTGAGGGGGTCTTCAATGACAGAACAAGATTTAAATATATGTATTCAGCTCTAGAAACTTTTCCCTAACCATTCCACTGTCTGCTTATTGTAAGAACCTTTTAGGAAGCACTTTTATTTCAGCATTTCCTTTAATACTTGCATTCCACATGGTCCCTGTTTCCATAACCTTTTTAAAAAATAAACAAGCACAGTGTGAAGTGACTTGCTTAAAATCACACAACCAGCAAATGAAAATGCTCAAACTGAGATGCATCTGTTTTATTCCGTGTGTCATGTTTTTCTGCTTTCCCTGGAACATTTTACTCCCAAGTATCTAAGTATCTGCACCAAGGGGACTTGTCTTGAGGGAATATTTGTAGGACTGTTAATCTCAGAGGTGATCATGGGACTAATGTGGTTTCGATATTTTGAAAGAGCACCTGGGTAAAAAGCTGCCGTTAGCATTGTGGGTCCCTTCTGCTTATTCAGTATTTTGGGTCCCTGTTAGTTCTGTTTAGAATCTATAGAAGACCTGGTCTAGGTTTTAAATGAAAGTGTTTCTATCCAAAAATGGACATTTAGATGCCATGGAGAATGCCTCGACTGAAGAGGATTTCCTGCTCATTCAACAGATTCCAGCTCCCAGGACCTAACTGGCTTAGTTGATATAAAGAGGAAAAGATCCTAGAACCAAGAATTCACCCTTATTGAAGACACTCTGCACCTCAGACCTCTTGAGCATTACAGAGTCCAGAAGATTGACAGTGTAGAGCAGAGCTGAGAGTTGCTGGCCATTTTCCAAGAACAGCAGAAAATGACCAAGTCTCAGGTGAGTTTTTTTAAAAATAACATTTTTTTTTTTATTATTGTTATGGTAAATACGTAGTATTTGTTGTTTCATTGACATGTACAGGTCATTTTCTTCACATGTACAGTTAAGTGATGTTAGAAATGTTCGTCATGCTGATCAATCCCAGCCTGAGATTTTGACTTATTCACTCCTCACTTGTAGTTCCCTCGAATTCACCCATTTAAAGTGGATAATTTAATGTTTTGGTAAGTTTACAGGATTGTACAACCTTCACCACAATCTAACTTTATGGCTGCTTTGGGGATGCAGTTCATCCCCCAAAAAAGAAACCCTCTACTTATTAGCATATACCCCCCATTCCTTCCTCTTCATTTTTTCCCCTAGGTCTAGGCGACTAATATACTGTCTGTCTCTATGGATTTCCCATTCTATGCATATCATTTGAGTAAAATCATATAATGTGTGGTTTCTTTTCACATAGCATAATATTTTTGAGGTTTACCCACATTGGAGCATGTATCAGAACTTTATTCTCTTTTATAGACATTGTGGTTAGGTGCCATCAAGCTAGCTCTGGCTCACAGTGACCCTATGTATCACATTTTAGTTACCCATTCATTAGTTGCTGGGCATCAGATTATCTCCATATGTTGGCTATTAAGGATAATACTGCTATGAACGTTTGTATATATGTTTTCTGTTCTCTTGGATATATACCTAGGAGTGTGATTGGTGGGTTATATGGTACCTATAGCTAACATTTTGAGGAACAGACAGACTGTTTGCCCGTTTTGTATTCCCATCAGCAATATGTGAAGTTTCCAATTTCTGCACATCCCATTCTAATGGGTATGAAGTGATAAGTCATTAAGGTTTTGATTTACATTTTTCTAATGACTAATAAAGAAGATGTCTGGTGGCATAGTGATTGAAACATTTGCTTGCTAACCAAAAGGTCAGTGGTTACAACCCACCAGGCTCTCCGTGGGACAAAGATGAGACAGTCTGCGTTCATAAAGATTGACAGCCTTGGAAATCCTATAGGCAGTTGTGTTCTGTCCTAAAGGGTTGCGCCAAGTTGGAATCAACTCTGTGACAGTGGGTTTGGTTTTTCAGCTTAACAACTAATGATGTTGAGCATCATTTCATGTGCTTATGAGTCATTTGTACCTCTTTGCAGAAATGTCTTTTCAGATATCTTGGCCATTTTCCCCCAGTTATATTTATTTGATGTTGAGAATATCCACAGCCAAACACACTAATTCAGCAGTCTCTACATGTACAATTTAATAACATCGATTCCATTCTTGTAGTCGTTCATCCATTCTCACCATCCCTTTCTGAGTTCTTCATCCCCCTTTAAAATAAAATCACTGCTCTCTGAGGTCCCTGTCGAATCTTTTGAGTTACTGCTGTTGATTTGATCCCTCCTGTTAGTGGGTAATTGAACTGTCTCACACACTGAAGCTTACACTTGTACTGAACAGGCTTAAACTTTTCACTTGGGATACACGTGCAACAGAGTCTATCAAGGTGTGGATCGGCACACTTTCTCTGTGAAGAACCACACGGTAGATATTTAGGCTTTGTAAGCCATCAGGTCTCTGTACCAACTACTCCACTCTGCTACTTCATCCCCAGAGCAGCCATAGGCAGCACATTCCAATACATTTCATTCACAAATATAAGCACTGGGCTGGATTTGGCCCACAGGTCATACTTTGCTGATTTCTGCTCTAAGGTATAAAACTGCAGAATGGAATTACTGAGTCTACACTTTACCATTCATCTACATCCTTATCAACTCTTGATATGATAAAGTTTTTAATTTTTGTCACTCTAGTGGGAGTAAGTGGTAACTCAGTGTAGTTTTAATGGTATAACCTGTGTGTCTATCATTCCCATTGAAGACATTGCTGTCCAGTCGATTCTGACTCACAGAACACAGTAGAACTGCCCCATATGGTTTCCAAGTCTGTAATCTTTACAGAAGCAGACTGCCACATCTCTCGCACACAGAGTGGTTGGTGGGTTCGAACCTCTGCCCTTTACATTAGCAGCTCAATGATTAACCACTGTACAGCTACAGGAACAACATGGAAATGTACCCACACATGTTCAGGCTTGTGCTTCATCTGCTGATGTCCCAATGACTAAGAGGAATCACTGATTGGGCCCAGAGTCAGAGTGGAGAGTACTAGCAAAGGGATTTGGGGAGAGTTAAAACTCAAGAGGTCCAAAGCACTGGTAGACCACATGAACCACAGCCTCCACCAGCATGAGCCCAGAAGAAATATGGTAAATGGTGTCAGCCACTCTGTTTAGGATCACAGTAGAAGGTCCTGGGTAGTGTGGGGGAAAATGTAGAACAAAATTAATTAAAAATCATAAAAAAAAAAAAAAAAAAAAAACAGACTAACTGGCCTGATAAAGACTGGTGAACCCCTGAGACTATGGCACTTAGACACCCTCAGACCTGGAACTGAACCCATTCCTGTAGATCGTTTTTCATCTAAACAATAGGCAGTCCTATAAAGTGAACAATAACACCCATGAAGAATGTGATCCTGATCCTCAGAACAGTCAACCATAAGAGACTAAAAGGGCAGCATTATCCCAAGAGCTAAGTTCAGAGGACAGGAAAGATGGGTGAAGGGACATGGGGAGCCCAAGGAGGAATTGGGCTGTTGAGATGATTGCAACTAATGTCATGAAATAAAATGTGTATAAATTGTTTAGTGGAAACGTCCACCCAAACCACCACAATTTTAAATATATGTGTGTGTGTGTCTCACACACACACACACACACACACACACACACATATATATATGACTTGGTATAGGATAGACACTCTGTATGATGAAGTCTGTTAGAAGTGGTCAGAATAAATGTATCAGGAATGTTTTCACTTCTGATTAGCAGAAGACCTACATAATGGTAGCTTTCATAATAAGGCCATCTTCGTTTTTCTCCTAAAAAACATCTGGTTGTAGACAGACTAGGGCTGCCACAGCTCACATCAGTGTCCTAATATATTTGGATATTGCTATTTCACTCTGCCTTACTTAATAAGTTGCTTTTTTATCCACACGCATATTGCTCCATAGTTCAAGATGGCTACTGCAGATCTAAGAATGACATAAATATTAAAAGAGGAAGGATGGTGGAAGGGGGAAGGGGACACTGTTAGTATCTATCTGTTTTATCAGAAAAGCAAAAGCTTCCCCCAAAACATCCTAGGATACTGTTGCAGGTCATCGACCAAACCAAAAAACCAAACCCACTGCCGTCAGGTCAGATCCGACTCATAGCGACCCCTCTTTGGGTTTCTGAGGTAGTATCACTATGGAAGCAGATTGCCCAGCCTTCCTTCCAAGGAGTGGCTAGTGGGTTTGTACCACCAGCCTTCTGGTTAGCAGTCACATGCCTTAGGCACTACACCACCAGAGCTCCCAAGGTCATTGACCAGAACAAATTAACAGAGCATAATCATATGGCTCAATCTAGGTGTAAGGAAGACTGAAGAACCAGTTTTCTGAGAAATGGAAATAGTACTATCCAGATTTGCTTAGAACAGTTAAGATTCACTACTGGGATTGGGCACACGTCACTTCTAATATAGCTGGGGTTCTGTTAGGAAGAAAGAGGGAAGGCAGAGATTTGGAAGGCACCCAATGGGGACTGCTAATGCTACTTTCTTTGCTGCCTAGTGTGAGTTTCTGCAGAATTAATATGAACATGCTTTTTCAGGGATCATTGTCATTTAAGGATGTTTCTGTGGACTTCACATGGGACGAGTGGCAGCTACTGAACTCTGCTCAAAAGAGTTTGTATAGAAATGTGATGCTGGAGAACTTTAGCAGCCTTGTATCACTGGGTAAGAACAGTTTCCTGTTGACCTAGACTCTGAATCATTGCCTTTTCCTACTTTTTTTTTTTTTTTTTTTTTTTGTCAAAAACTGTAACACTTTTGAAGTGTTTAAGACTAAGAATTCAGATTCTTAATCTTTTTTGTTTTCAGGGTGTTTTGCACATTTATCTGCCAGTTGAAAAACTGTAGCCTCTGAAGCTTAACAGTCATTATTCTTCAGAAGCCTAAAGCCCAGGCCATTAGGCACTGTTGTTCAGAGAACTCTTCTTAAAGTCACTATACTTTCATAAGTGACTCAGGACTGGTAACATGAACTTCTCAGATACACAGATACCATGTATCCATGTTGTTGTTATGTGCCGTTGAGTCAGCCCCGACTCATAGCGACCCCTCCTTGGGTTTCCGAGGCAGTATTACTACAGAAGTAGGATTGCCCACCCTTCCTTCTGAGGAGTGGCTGGTGGATTTGAACTGCCAGCCTTCTGGTTATCAGTCAAGTGCCTTAGGCACTATGCTACCAGAGCTCCTCCATATATCCATAGTAGGACAGTATGGTCTTTGCTTTGATTTTAGATTGATATGTGCCCCTTCCCTACACTCAGGAGTTGAACCATGCCTTTTTCATGGAAGACCTTGTATGTGTTCCCTTTACAGCTGCTGGTCGGTCTCTTTTGTTAGGCACTCAAGGATTTATTTTCTTTCCTCTCACTTTTCTGACTCTCTCCCATTTGCTTCTCTTCCATTTCTAAATGCCTCCCATTATTATGTATACCCACATCATTTTTTATATTCTTTCTTTGATTCCTTTTATGAGAGTCCACTCTTTCTATAACTTTAACCAAAGTGATAACTTGGAAGTCATCATTACCTAACTTCTGGTGTAACATTTTGTTGACCTTGATAGTGTTGCTTGTACAGAAATAAAATTTTACCTTTGCCTAGAACATGTTATTCTATCTTGGCCTCTAACAGACTGTTCAGTTCAAGCTGTTACTGTTTTTTTCCCCCCGATTGGTGATCTGTTTCCTATCTCAGTTTATCTGCAAGGACTTTATTTAATTTTAATTCTCAAATTATTGTGCATGATTATTTCCACAGTTATAGTGCATAAGGGAGCAGGGTGTTCAGTGGTAGAAACCTCGCCTTCCATTCAGAGACCTGGTTTGAGTCCTGGCTAAGGTACCTCATACTCAACCACCACTCATCTGTCAGTGAAGGCTTCACTGTGGCTCTGATGCTGAACAGGTTTCAGCAGAGCTTCCAGACTAAGGAAGAAAGGCCTGGCAGTCTACTGAAAATCAGCCAGTGAAAACCCCATGGGTCATAACAGTCCAGTTTGCAGCCAATCATGGGCATGTGCACGATCGGGCAGTGTTTTGTTCTGTCATGCAAGGGGTCCCCATGCGTTGGGGTGACTCTGTGACAGCTAACAACAATGTAGTTCATGAACAGTTTTTGAAGGAGTCACAAGATGTGTTTATTGTTCTTTCTAGAGTACTGCAATATTGATGATTATGTAGCTTGGCACCAGGAACTCCAAGACAAGCTTAAAAGATTGGAGAAAGATCATGGAAGTAATGCAGGTGGAAAAGTATTTCAGTCAGGCATGGACCTTGTACTTCTAAAGCAAAGGCCCAATATGTATATGTCAAATGGAAAACATTTAAAATATCCATTAGATTTATTTTCTCCAAATGGAATCTGTGGAAGGAAGAAGTCTGGTAAGCTCAATGGATATGAGAAGTCATTTCTCTACACCAAGCATGAAAAAACCCATGCTGGATTAAAGTACTATCAATGTAATGAATGTGGGAAAGTCATCAGCAAGAAGTCACAGCTCACTGTACATCAGAGAACTCATACAGGAGAGAAACCCTTTCAGTGCAATGAATGTGGCAAAGCCTTTTCCCAGAAGTCACACCTTGTTACACACCAGACAATTCACACAGGAGAAAAACTTTTTGGATGTAGTGAATGTGGGAAAGCCTTCTCTCGAAAGTCGCATCTCATTACACATCAGAGAACTCACACAGGAGAAAAACCCTACAAGTGCAATGACTGTAACAAAGTCTTCTCTCAGATATCACAGCTCATTATCCATCAGCGAAGTCACACAGGAGAAAAGCCTTATGGATGTCGTGAATGTGGCAAAGCTTTTCGAGAGAAGGCAAGTCTCAACAAGCATCAGAGGATTCATTCAGGAGAGAAACCCTACGGATGCAGTGAATGTGGCAAAGCCTTCCGAGAAAAGTCAAGTTTCAGTGATCATCAGAGGGTTCATTCAGGAGAGAAACCCTACGGATGCAGTGAATGTGGCAAAGCCTTCCGAGAAAAGTCAAGTTTCAGTGATCATCAGAGGGTTCATTCAGGAGAGAAACCCTATGGATGCGTTGAATGTGATAAAGCCTTCAGTGGGAAGTCACTCCTTATTAGACATCAGAAAACTCATTCTGGTGAAAAACCCTATGGATGTAATGAATGTCAGAAAGCGTTTATTTGGAAATCACAGCTCATTATTCATCAGAGAACTCATACAGGAGAGAAACCCTATGGATGTGGTAAGTGTGGCAAAGCTTTCTCCCAGAAATCACATCTCATGATTCATCAGAGAACTCACATAGAACAGAAACCTTAAGAATATAGTGAATGGAGGGAATTTTTAAGAAAATAGTCACACTTATTTCTATACCAGAAAACTCATTTGTAGAAATCCTATGAATGCCTTGAGTGTAGGGAAGTCTTCAAAAGGAAATTATAGTAGCCATCAGAATGTCACGTGGGAGAAGAAGCCTATGAATGAATGCAGTGAAGGTGGTGAATAGAGTGTAGGAAAGCCTTCAACAACTAGTCTAACATATTGATAGTCAAATTATTCATACTGAGGAGGAAAATCGTGATTTAAGATGAGAAAGTATTTTCGTAGTAATAATGTTCAAAAGAAATTTGTTTCCAGCTGTGATACTGCATTAAAAAATATAGCTTCGATTCTAAATGGTAGGCATATGGAACTTTTCAAACATGTATATAAATTCAATAATCATGACAGCAGAGTAAGAAACATTGCTTTGGGGTATATAAGGCTTATATTCCTGAATATAGCTACAAACATATTTTTGTAGTATATATGAAGTTACTGTAATTGTGATCATGATATATTTCTTTGGTTCAGGGCATGACATCTGTCATGATTTCTACATAGAATGTGTTTTACCTCATACAATAACAATATAAGCAAATTCAGTATGTTGGTGAACCGACTGACATAATAGTTAACACCTAGTTTAAATTATATTGCCAGATACGGCACTTGTGAATGAATTTGAGAACATTTACTGTGCTCTCTCTTCACTGATAGAAACCAGAATTTTTATAAAGTCTCCTGCTACCTCTGAGTCAGTTCTTATATAGAATTATTGTTTGTATTAGACATGCAAAGACAACACACATTAACAAGTGAGCAAAAGAAAAATGCTCTCAATTATATTACTCATCATTCTATGTATATCCAAAGTGGAGGTGGTGAAAAGAGCCACAAAGGCCATCTTCCTATTGTTTTCAGTGAGATTTCTGTATGATTACAGTGTACATACATTAAAGATAATGTTCTCAAGAAACCCTCTGTATTTTAAGTTAATAGGAAATTACATCATGTTATTCTGTTCCCTGCTCATGAACAATGTCTTTAGGGCTTTTATCTAAGAGCAAACATTATTTGCATATGCAGTGGGGTTGAAGGTTACAGTTAGATTTTAGGTTAGCAAAGTATTGCTTTTGGGGATGACTTGGCCCCACATTTCTTATGTAGTCCCTATGAAGAGGTCTTCTTTGTGGACTTGCTTATCAACTAGGGAAACTGAGCAAATAGAAACTATTCTAAGCATTTAAAATGAGTAAAATGAGGGGAATTTAACACAGGAAGTTGGCTACATAGGTGATGAGAGCCTAAGAGGGTAGATGAGGCATCCCCGAAGTTAGCAGCAGGGATTCATTACTACCACTGTGACTGGAGTAGTAAAGGGAGGACTTGGTATTAGCAGAATCCAGGGTCATTCAGTACTGACTGAAACCATGGTGGACCTATCCAGGAAGAGCTGGAGCCACTAAGGAGATGTAGCCATTACTAGCAAAACCACCTGAGACACAGAGGAGAAAAAATACACTGGATTTTAATGACCTCACAACCTCAGATTCTCCACCTAACCAGAAAACCAAACCTACTGCCATTGAGTTGATTCCAACTCATGGCAACATTTTAGGACAGAGTAGAACTGCCCTAGAGTGTTTCCAAGGTGGTAAATCTTTACAGAAGCAGACTGCCTTGTCTTTGTCCCTCAAAGCAGCTGGTGGGTTCAAAATGCCAACTTGTTTTTGGTTAGTGTCCAAATGCTTTAACCGCTGTACCACCAGAGGTCCTAAATCCTCTACCAGTACTTCCCAGTAACAAAACAACTAGAAGCAGCTGATCCAGGAGGCTGGGTTACATCCTGAAGGGCAGATTTCCGTTGCCCTGAGACCAGAGGAGGAAGAGAATAGACAAGAAATGGATCTGAGGATGAAGCAGGCCCAGGGTCAGCATGGCTTGTCCACTTTGTTATTCAGCATTTTTCATACCTTTCTGTAATACACCTGTGTAACATAAATAATAATTTTGTGCTTCTGCCTATTATGAACCAACTATTCATTGTACAAAGACACTCTCACTGTTCTGCCAATAAAAGGAAACACAGAGCTCCATAGTCATTATTTACATCGCAGGTCTGAAATCTCTAGTTGCAATGTGGCTTGACTTGATCTCATATCCTACAAACTATGCCATTAAGCTAAGCATCACTAATGACTCACACCAAAACAGAGTAAGAGAAACTTTGTTGAGACACATAAATGGGCATAGCAGGTATAGTCATCTCTGTACTTTCCATGAAAATGTGGTTAATATTTTCTCTGCAACTTCCTTTGGCTACCTGTTCCATGTCATGCTTGCCATCAAACAGCAATTGGCTGATCAGGCTTTGCTACCTGGTAAGGTAATCCAAATCTTCCTTCCTGAAGAATCTACATTTCTAGTGGTCCTATCCTGATTGGGGTGCTTTAGTTTCCCAGCGAACTTTACTGTCATCTGTGGAAATACTAAGAGGCCCACCAGTGAATACCAGCTGTCCTCTCCACAGCACTCTCTGCTCTGCTGGGTTCAGTAATCTTTTGCAGTGGCCACCCAGAGCTCACAGACCATAATCACAATTATGTGGTTTATCAGGGAAGTAACAGGATGCAGAATACAGGATACACTTTGTCAGTTAGGACAGCTTCCAACTAATTTAGCTCTCATTTCCTCCTTGGCCATGGATGCAGTCAGGCTGCATTTCTTGGCCAGGCTAGCCTCCTCTCCATCAGGCTAGCAGGCCCTTGTCCTGGCCAAGTAGCCTTCTCTTGGTCTCTGCCGTGTTTGGGCAAACATTAACAACTCTTTAGCTCTACTGACAAGTACCCAAGTCACCCCTGTCTGCCAGCAAACCTCCTGCCCAAAGGTGCTCTCTTGCTCCGTGGACCAGGAAGCACACCACAGCTGTCTCATGTCAGGCACCTATTTCCCACCATGGTGAGCCACTGCCACTGGTGCCACACTGCTACTGCCGCGCCTTCTTCTGCCATCTTCAGTGTTACAGCTCTCTCTCTTCTGGGTCTAAAAGATTCTCACTGCAGGGACCCTGGGTCCAAAGGACATGTTCCGCTCCACATTTTCCTTCTTGGTGGTTGTGAATTCCTCCTTACCCTCTGTGGGACTAGTCCTTTATGAGCCTACTCCTCCAACCAAGACCACAAACCAACCAAGACCATGAATTGACTGATCACCTCAGTAGGTCATGGTTGGCTTATTTGCATAATAATAGATTCGTCTCTGTAACAGTTTTCCTGTACCTTATTTGCATACCAAACTGTCTAATCCCTGTAAGGTACATAAAATAGACCAATTACAGGGCAGGCTGTGGCCCAACCAATTATTTTGTCAGAACTATAAACCCAAGGTCAGAAAGGCAATACAAGCAATCCCCGGGTTATGAATGTTAGACTTATGGACAGCTCCTACTGGCCCTTTAATGCAGGGATTTGAACTGGCTGACAAAGTGAAACAGGAACAAATTTAAATTTTCATGATTTGGGTGGTTCATCATGGTATTTAGAATGGGAAAAAGTATGGGTTAAAGCCCTGGACTGGGAGCCTTGCAAGAGCCATAGTAAGCCTCTTCAGGAGCCTGATGCATGAAATTGGGTTATTGAGAGGACTATGGAAAGCTACACATGTTCAGAGTGGTCCTGTTGACCACCATCTTTGAGCAGGGCAGCACTGTTTTGAAGCCCTGCTTTAAAGTTATATAAATTTGCCTTCACTTTGAAATGATTGAACCAACCCTATTCACAGCAAATTCTTCATCACAATCATATTCACTTGCTCCACTTGGAGCTTTTACATCATTGAGAAAGCTTTGAGCCTTTTCTTGCACTATGTAAGGCTAATTAAGAACTGTTGGCATCTCTTCTAACTCATCTATCAATTCTTAAAGGGACAATTAAGAACAGATCTTGTTCTTAACTCACGGATTGCCTGTATATGAAGAGAAACCCATTGCACTGCAATGACACATACATAGTAGAGATAGGTTGTATATGTGTTTTATAAATCAATTAAAAATGAATCCCCTACTAGTGGACCATGCAAACTTCAGCGCATATGACCATGAAACCAGAAGAACTAGATGGGGCCTGGCTACCACTGTCAACCTCTTGGAAAGGCGTCAGTGAAGGAGATCCTGGATAAAGTAGGAGAACAGTGTGGAAAAAAACTCAAGATCATAAAAAGGACCAGGTTAACTGGTCTGTCAGAGCCTGGTGAGACCCTTGAAACTATGGCCCCTAGTTACCTTCCAGGTCTGGAATTGAACTCTTTCCCATGGCTTCCAGCCAAACAATACACAGGCATATGGGGTGAACATTTAGACCAGGTAGATACACTCCTTAAAACAAGCAATCATTGTAGAATAGAAGGGCAGTGTTTGCACAAGGAGACAGCTCAAGAGGCAGGATGCATAGGAAAGGACACAGGGAAGAGGTAACTGCAGGGGAAAAGTCTGAAGAGAGTTGTTAGATTTATGGGGAATTGCAGTCAATGTCATGAAACAAAATGTGTATGAACTGCTGTATGGAATATGAATTTGCTTTGTAAACTCTCACCCAAATTACAATAAAAATGAAATAAATGCATAAATAAAAATGAATCCCCTAGTAAAAATGGGGTGAAGAATGGCTTAGCCCATTTGTCCTTCTTTCCTTTTACCCTTTTAACAATGGTCTAGAACTAAAGTTTGGCATTCAACAGGGTATCTTGAACCATGAGGTGACCTTGAGGATGGAAATCATGTGAAGACAAGAGCCACTAACTAGGATGGTAGAATAGAAATATGGAAGGAGCATTTCATAATTACAT